GGGCTGTGGTCTGACCTACGGTCCGTGGATGGTGACCGTAAGTTGCACCTGCAACTTCTCGAAATCTGTATTTTTGGCCTATTTCGAATACGGGGTGTTACATGATCTCCCCCTTGGGACCATTCGTCCACGAATGAAGACTAAACAAGCTGAAATAGAGGGAGAGGGTTGCAATCCCTACCACTAAACACTGAGAACTGAATTTCTGACTGAACTGAGTTCCAAGAACATGCAAATACGCTGAAAATGCAAGTACAAACTGAAGGAACATGATTCTAACACTGAATTTATGCATGAATGACTGAAAAACTGATGAGGAACTATTACTCAAGCTGAAATGGAATCGGAAGGAAAGAGGTGAGGATACTTGCACTTCATGGCTGCTTCTGCTTACCAAGTAGCTCCCTCTACGGACTGACTCCTCCACAAAACCTTGACTGAAGCGACTTCTTTGTTTCTCAACCTTCTAACCTGACGATCGAGAATCTCAACTGGTACATCCTCATAAGAAAGGCTATCTTTCACGGCCACACTCTCTAATGGCACTATGGATGCTGGATCACCCATACACTTCTTCAAAAGAGAAATGTGAAAGACTGGATGCACTGCTGCTAAGTCTGCTGGCAACTCTAGCTCATAAGCCACTTTACCAATCCTTTTCAAGATCCGGTAAGGGCCTACATATCTGGGACTGAGCTTTCCTTTTTTGTCAAATCTCATCACCCCCTTCATAGGTGACACTTTCAGGAAAACCCAATCATCAATTTGGAAGTCTAGTTTCCTTCTTCTCATATCTGCATAAGACTTCTGGCGACTCTGAGCAGTCTTAAGTCTATCTCTAATGAGTTGCACTTTCTCCATAGCATCAAGGACCGAATCTGGTCATATCAAGGCTGCTTCGCCTACTTCAAACCAACCAACTGGAGATCTACATCTACGCCCATACAATGCGTCATAAGGGGCCATCCGAATGCTGGAATGGTAACTATTGTTGTAGGCAAACTCATTAAGAGGAAGTTGATCATCCCAACTACCCTTGAAGTCGATCACACAAGATCTCAACATGTCCTCTAAGGTCTGAATGGTACGCTCTGCCTGACCATCTGTTTGTGGATGAAATGCTGTGATAGAGATAACCCGTAGAGATCATCTTTCTGGTCTTAAGGTAAGAAATGAATCGACCCATAGGCGCTAAGCTACTACCCTTCCATTCCAAGATTGGTTCGTCTGGAAACTGAAAACGAACAATCCTAGTTCTACAATCAACTGAGGCATAACAGGAATGTAACCAATCCATGCCTAGAATGACATCAAAGTTTACCATTTCGAACTCTACAAGATCTGCTGAGGTGCCTTTCTGAGAGACTGTGACAGGGCAATTTCTGTATACCCGTCTAGCTATAACTGGGTCACCGACTGGAGTAGAGAC